TTTTTTTTTTTTTTTTTTTGCGCGCACGGAAGAAACGTGTCTCGATAGATCTAGGAATGAGCGATCGTTTTCTTTTTTCTTTTCTCTCTTTAAATAAACATTGACATTGTAATACTGAATTCGTGAATTATGCTCCAAACGTGAAGAGACTTCTTAATGTTTCTTCCGTTACGACAGAAACTTGTTTCGCTTAATAATTACTTAGGCCGAGTGTCGTCATGGGAAAACAAGAGGAACATACATTTTCATGAATTCACACGATCGATGATGAAACCTTCTCATTCACAAATTCATTGATCACTTGTTGGAAATAATTTTAGAAATGAAAAATGCGCGAAAAAAGAAAAGAAAAACAGGAATGGACTAAGTAAAGTATTTCCGTTTGCTTCAGAGAAGAAATTAATACATTGTTATCGATTTTAAAATGTTCAAAGATTAATTCTTCACCGTTGTAGAATTTCAATCCAACATAGATAACATTGTCTTCTTTCTAATAATTTGTTCTTTCTAAATTTTGTAGTAAATCAAGACTTACATATATATATATATATATATATATATATATATATATATATATATATATATCGGAAGAAGAAAAAATTCGCACGGAATCTGTTGTTTTATCTAAATCTGTAATGTTTGAAATTGTAGGAATGTACGAATAAGAATAGATACATAGAGGGCAGATGAGTGAAAACGAAGAAGATTTCGGTCGTTTCTTTCGATCATTGTAGAGCGAAATTTATCAATTTGCGGTTGATATCGTCGGGGGTCGTGGTTCATCGCCCCAATGATGATTCAGGTTGCTTTGTTTTTAATTTTCGTTTCTTCATTTTTTGTGCCTCTCTGTTCAATTTAAAATATGAAGCAAACGTGATCGGTATAAATGTAACGGTATATATACGTAGGATAGTAAACGGCAACCGAAATGCAAATTACGAATCTCGAAGATATTCATTTCTGTTCTGCATTTTATACGGTTTCATGAAAACGTTACTTTCACGACACGTGAAGTGACAACTTTGTCAATCGAAACAATCGACGAAACGTACAAGCTGACTCGTTTGACGCGTTGGAAAGGCTGATCGATCATTTCAATGATATACAGAAAATATGGGAAATGAAAGGAAACTCGAGTGAAATTTTATTTATATAAGTAGCAATTGAAATCGTAGCAATTAGTAGAAAAGTTTATCAGAATTTCTAACAAATCCGACAGATGAGAATTCCTCTGAGCGGGTTTTTTTTCCCCGCGCTTCTTATTTACAAAAATTTTTACAAAATCGTCGCGACTCTCGATAATCTCGCGTAATCCCGAAAATAAATTAATCCGG